TTTTTGAGTCGTAGTCTCACTCTGTTGCCCAGGCTGGAGTGCAGTGGCATGATCAGCCTAGACGTCAGGCAGCCTAGACGTCCTGGGCTCAGGCGGATGCCTCCGCCTCAGCTTTCCCAGCAGCTGGGACTATAGGTGCATGCCACCACACCTGGCGAATTTTTGGATTGGTTGAGATGAGATCTCACCATGTTGCCCAGGCTGGTCTCAAACTCAGACTCAAGCAATCCTCCCTCTTCAGTCTCCTGGAGTGCTGGGATTACAGACATGAACCACTGCGCGAGGCCTTAAGGCAGGTCTCAGAGGCCACCTGGAGTCACAAGGTAAGATAAACTATGTACCCAATGCTTCTACCAGCAGCAGGAGGGGAAGAAATTCTGAACTGAGTTCACTAAAATAATAACAACTCAGGGGCTGGACACGGTGGCTCATGCTTATAATCGTACCACTTTGGTAGGCTGAGGTGAGAGGATTGCCTGAGCCCACAGGTTCGAGACCAGCCTGGGCAACCTGATGAGACCTCATCTCTACAATAAATAAAAAAATTAGTGGGACATGGTGCATGCCTGTAGTTCCAGCTACTTGAAAGGCTGACACAAAAGGACCACCTGAGGCCAGCAGATCGAGGCTGTGGTGGCCATAAGTGTGCTACTGCACTCCAGCCTGGGCGACAGAGAACCCAACTCAAAAAAAATAAAAATAGGCTGGGCACAGTGGCTCAATCCCATAGTCTCAGCACTTTGGGAGACCGAGGCCAGAGGATTGCCTGAGCCTGCAGGTTCGAGACCAGTCTGGGCAACAGGATGAGACCTCATCTCTACAGTAAATCAAAAAATTAGCCGGGTGTGGTGGTACTCCCCTGTAGTTCCCACTACTTGGAAGGCTGAGGTGGAAGGATCGTCTGAGCCTAGCAGATCGAGACAGCAGTGGCCAGGAGTGTGGCACTACACTCCAGCCTGGGCGACAGAGTGAGACTCCAACTCAAAAAACCAAAAGTAAAAATAAAAATAGCAACTCAGTCAGACGCGGGGGCAGAGGAGACTTTGTACATAAAGATACAAACTCTAGCCGGGCTCCGTGGCTCAGCCTGTAATCCCGCGCCTTTGGGAGGCGGAGGTGAGTGGATTGCCTGGGCCCAAGGGTTCGAGACCCGCCTGGGCAGCGAGACCGCATCTCTACCATAAATCAAAAAATCAGCCAGGCGTGGGAGCGCGCGCCTGTAATCCCGGCTACTCGGAAGGCTGAGGCGGAAGGATCGCCGGAGCCCGGCGGGTCGAGGCTGCGGTGGCCGGGAGCG